ATCAACTGGGAGGGGTAAATTGATGGTGGTAGTTGTAAATACCTCTTCTTATGCCACACAAGCCCACTCCTGCCACTAACCTGAGTCACTTCTCTTGTTTCAACAGCACTAGAGAATGCTGCTTTTTCTAATATCCAAAGTATGTGTGGCGATGCTAAAATCTCGAAGGCCATTTCAGTCAGTCTCAATCCTCTCTCGTAAAGTTGATTTACTACTATCACGTTTGTTTCGGTAACGTGACATATATTTAACCCCAAAATGCTGTAAATTCAATAGCTGAATTTGTCAACACTAGACTTTGCTAGGTCATCGACTGTCAGTCTATTTACCTGTCCAGCTATCATCTACCCATTTCACGCGCGTTTGATTTACCAAGAATGAGGGGGATATCCGTGGCCATTTGCGGTATCAGATTCAACAATGAAGGTAAAATTGTCCCTTGATTTCGAGACATTTTACAGTGAAAATGCGAATAAATGCTAAGGGCTTTACCAAGCCTATCACTGCTTGCAATAACCTGAACTTGTAAACTTTTCTGTGGGTTTGGATTCTGCCACCTGTCCATTAACCTGCGCATATGCAGATGTGGTGCGTTCCTTGGAAATCTCGTGGGTCTTATGTAGTTTGGAGAATAATCGGCTTTCAGAATTATTGCTTTGAGTGCCATGTACCGTCTCGAGCCCTCCATGTCGGCAAATCCGTCATTTAAGGGATAATGAGCCAATAGATTTGGAATTTTCTGTCCTCCTTAAGTAGACTACCATGATAAAATATATGCACCATTTCCTCTGTTCCATAGCCTGCAAAGGACCCACGCCCACCCACTCTCCCAATAAACCTGCAGGCATGGGTCGAATTGGTGCGATCGCTGCAAGGCTGTTGTTTAAAGCCATGTCAGTCAGAGTTGATGATGATTCACTCTCACTATGAAGCTCCTCCCCATCAGGTAATGTCTGGAATGCTTGACCATTGTAATAAAGTTGAAGAATTCGGATTAGGTCCCACATTTTTTTTTTCACTTGCCTGTTAATCTTGGCACTTGTGTAGATGACGATGTGCCTCTTTCAAATTTCGTCTATTTGCGAGAGTGCACCACTCAAGTCTACGTCACCAGCGTCAGTATCCAGTAGAATTGATGGAGCACTTGTTCGAATTTGCTAATGCTGAAAACTGTAGAGCAGAGCATTCACTTCAGTTCTTTACTTGCTTCTTCGTGCCTTTTATTCCAGTTGAAATTCTTCTTCCT